AAGAAGTCCAGATTCTTTTCTTTCCAAGCTCCTTAGACTACGATGACCTCAACGACTGAGAACCTTAACAGACAGTTCTTCCCTTCAATCCTCATGCCTGATTTCAAAACACCAAGATGGCAGTCGTGAAAACACTCATCTTGAGTATTCATGGGACTACGGTGAGGTCACTTATGCCTCTCATGATGCTGTCCCAGACTTCAAAGCAGTATAAAACATGTTTGCAGCCTGTAACAACTGTGCATGCGGTTATTTTTCGGTTTAAGATTTCCGTGTTTAAATCATAATAAGATTTAGTTTTAATTTTAATTACCTTGAGGTGAGTCAGATTCTTTCATTCGAGTCACTGAACTGGATCTCTTGACATGTTTGAGGATAGGTGCCTTTTGTAGCATTTTAATGCAATTATCTGACAGATTATATGGTCTACGCTGTTATTAACTGTACTAACACTCTGTTCCAGAAGTCTGTGCTGCAAAGAGGCAAAGTGAATACCGCACCTGCAGGAGTAATGGGGGTCATCAGTCGGTTCAGCTGGATGTTCCAGTGCCGTACATGTTGACTGGCATTCCTCAGCCTCTCCTGAACCTCCTGGAAACAAAAATCATGCAGGCATCCTCATCAGTGTTGTTTTAGAAGAGCACTAAATAAGATGCTGCTCACAAAGCCAGTCAAAACAAACTTGTTCACCTCCAGACGCTGGTGGCTTCTTTGGCGAGATGCCTGCAGATCCTGGAGCTCCTGAGAGGCAGAGTTGAGGGCTGAGGGGGTGTCCTCATCGGGACTGCCATCTGACAGCTCCTGTATGGGGCTGAGGTTTTGCATTGTACGTTGCTGCTCCTGGAGGAGCTGGAAATGTTTCCTCTTTTCATCTTCAGCCTGCAGCAACCTGAAGGAGGGGAGAAAGGGAAGAAGCAATTGAAAATGTTAATACTTCTCATGGATATCTCAGATCTCCATCACAAATAAAATAATAAAGGGCCATAATAAGAGTTAGAAATCCATTGTTACCGCTCAAGCTCCAGTCTGGCCCTCTCCTCCTCCAGCCGAGCCTGGATCTCCATATTAAGGGCAACTTCCAGCTGCTGCTGTGTCAGCTCCAGCTCCCTGATCCTCTTCTTCTGTTGTTCAGCCTCCTTTTCCTTCACCTGCATCTCAGCCTGCATGCTGTCTTTTATCTATGCACACACACACACACACACACACACACAGTTACATAAACAGATGCACCAACAGAGCGGTATAAACTGACCTATTCCTGAATCACCTTTTTCTGGACTGTCATAACCATTTTTCCAAATCATTAAAGACTAGGTGTGAATTTTATAACGACAGTCAACATTTTGCTGCAGTTCTCAAAGATCAAAGTCAAGGAGAAAAGACTGTACATAATTGGTGTCAAGTGGAAAACTTTTTTTTACCATCTCAGCCTCTTTCAGCTGTCTTTCCAGTTCCATCTGCACCTCCCTCTGCTTCCTCCGCTCTCTCTCTTCTGCCTCCCTTCGGCGAGTTTCCAGTTCCCGTGCATGCTGTGAAACAGATGAAAAAGCCATTGTTTGGTTTGTGTTTTCACCTCTATCCAGCAGGTGACACTAGGCCATCAGCTTCGAGGTTCAACGTATTGTGCTTTTAGCGGTGCTCTTCTTGATAACTTGGTTGTAGTAAGTGGGTATTTGAGTTCATGTTGCTTTCCTTACAGCTTTAAGTAATCTGCTCATTCCGCTTTTGATCTTTGGCACCAACAAGTGATTTTTTTCCCCAGAGAAGTGCTGCTCACAGGAGATTTCCTCCATTTCAGACCATTTTCTATAAACCCGTTAGATGGTTATACAGTTTCTGAAATACTCAGACAAGCCTGTCCGACACAAACAACAATGCATGTTCAAAGTCATTTAAATCCACTTTGACCTTCAGCAGGTCGTCTTATTAACGTATACATGCCTAAATGCACTGAGCTGCTGCCATGTGATAGGCTGATTAGGTATTTGACCTAATGAGGAGCTCAACAGGTGTATCTAACAAAAATGTGGCCAGTGAGTGTACATGGTACTTTTTAAATGGACAAAATGAACTGCACTAGCAGCTGCCCAGTGCCACTATGAATTAGTTAAATAATCACTATCACGGATAGTTTGGTGCATGATGTAATTAAATAAATATTACAAAAAAAGATTCTTATAGCCCTCACTTACCTTGATAATGTTTTCAATCTCCAAGTCCTGTTTGTCTTTCTCTTTTTCTGTCTTCTCCGTCTCATGGATAGTCAAGTCATCAGATTGGCTGCCCCTGCTGCTGCAGCTGCTGCGGGCGCTCCGGCTGCGTTCCCGCTGACTGTTTTCCCGCTGGATCCGTCTCTTCAGTTTGAGTTCATGGTGAAGGGAAGACTTTCCCTCACTCTGAAGACGGAGGGCAGTTTGAATGGCTGAATAGTGAAAGAATACATAAAAGTAGTAATGAAAGTTTGTTGCCTTGCTATAGAAAATAATATATTAAAACAATTAAAAAACAATATATTCCTTTTATAGCTTCCCTCAGAAAAGACTTCTTGCTATGAGTTGCATCTTAGCAAACCCTCATCATCACCTTCATTATCACCTGGATCAGCTGCCACACTATCATTAACCTTTGCAGACACCACATTTGCTGCTATAAATAGAATGAACAGCCTACGAACAAAGCAAAGATACGAACTACATGTACACTTTGTTTTTACATGAGAAAGCCATGGCAGCATTCTTTCATGAGAAAAAAAAAGATGCGTCTCAGTGTTACAAGGCAGAGCTGTAAAAAAAAAAAAAAAAGTTATGTCCACTTTAACCCAAACTTTGTACTTCTTTGTCTTTTTTTGTAGAAGAGGTGTTTTGTGCCCCTCTGTCAGTGACCTCTTTTCAAATTACCAAGCTGTCTGAACCTATTATTCATGAAATGTGGCTTCTTATCTCAGTCACAATCGTAGGCAAACACAATTTGTTATTACAGGAAGCAGTAACTCACCAGTTAAATCTCATTTAGTATCAACAACCTCCATCACACCTTTTCTTGCAGCTGTTTAAGAGACTTGCATAACCTAAAATCATGATGCTCCCTGCACCATGCTTAATAGTGTTGTGCAGTGTTTTTGGTCATTGCTTCTTTTTTCTCAACTCTTAAAACTCCTTCTGATAAAAGGAGAAAGTCCTGGATTTTCTCCATTTGCAGACAGCTGCATTCTATAATGCTTCTTGTGGAAGTTAATGGCACTGAGTCATGGTTGAAAGCAGTTTTTATATAGTTACCAGACTTGTAGAGTTAGGTCCAAAATTTGTTGGACAGAGACCACTTTTGTGCTTTATCTCTGTCCAACACCACAGTAGATTTTAAATTAAACAATCAAGACGTGACTGAAGTGCAGACTTTCACCTTTAATTCAAAGGTTTTTGAAAAAATAATGCATTAACTCTTTAGGAATTACAGCCATTTTTAAACACAGTCCTCCATTTTCAAATGCTCAAAAACACCAATTGACTAAAAAGCAGTTTCAGTGAGTCCCCTTGTTATTTTATGACAAATAAAGCAGACATAATATCTGTAATTTTAAAGAGGAGACCCAAAGAGATATCAGTGCAAAAGAAGGAGGCCATCATTAGGCTAAAAACCTAAAATACACCTATCAGAGTATAGGTAGCGATATCACTGTTAAAGTCTGTAATCAAGAGGTGCCTTCATGAATGGAAATACAGAGAGCTTACAACAAGGTCCAAAACACTGGTTACGCTCAAGAACTGGAAGGTCAGGTTAAACATTACTAAGAATCTAAAAGAGCCTGCACAGTTATGAAAAATATTGTAAAGATGAAATTGAGTTTAACTTGGACATGTAGACAACGTCCTCTGTCAAACATGGTGGAAACAAAGAACTGAATCACTAGTGTTTATTGAAGGTGTGACTGCTGGTAGAAGTGGCAAGATGAATTGTGGAGATAATGACCCAAAACATCGAGGGAAAACTATTTTAGCATTATTGAGTCTGGCTGTAACTGTGACTTAGTCAACATTTTATAAGCTTCAGCTGACTTCTGAAAGTTTTCTTAATCACTGGCAAAAGAAACACAAATAATTAGCAACCAATGAAACAGAGATTGTTTGACAAGTGGCCTCAATATATCTGAAAGATCCTGGAATTATTTATATACACTATGATAAGCTTCAGAACATTTCAACTACACTAAACCAATGAGCACACACATTATAAGTTACACACCTTGAGTCCACTCCACTTTCTGTTTCTGGTCAGGTGCGCTCATCTCATAGGTTTTACTATGGGTTTTCACACAGAACAGACAACGCTTTCCCTCCCTGTCTGGAATAGACTGAAACAGAAAAATGTGTGTAAGTCACAGCGTTGGTTGGTGAAGAGTTAAACATGCTGAGTTTTCCTCACTAACCTCTATGACACAGTTCTGATCCAGCTGGATCTCCCCTCTCTTGTCTTTTAAGTCCTCGCTGACATAGTAGGCCATGGAGGAGGGCTTCAGCACAAACCAGCGCTCAGTCCAATTCCTACGCACATGCCCCTTTTTCCACATGTAACCCTGCAAAACAAGGGATCGATTGAAGAACAAAGAAAGACAAAAATGTCAAGGGAGCAGTCAAATAGGCTCCAGTGACACAGCACAACTCACTCTCTTGAGAACGCTGTGATAGATCTCCAGGAACACCTCATCTAAAGCCAGGCTGAAGGCCTCAGCGCTGGTGACGCTCAGCAGCCGGCCTGCACTCATATCCTCCAGGAAGGTCCACACGGACATTCCCTCTTCCCACACTGTAGCATCCTGCGATAGTAAGTCCTCCATGGGCTTCCCATCCCACTCCTCGCTCATCGCAGTGGAGATTTTCTTGAGGAGATACTCCACCTAGAAGCATTCAAATATTTGTATATGAAACTTTTTGCACATCGCGAAAACCAAATATTAATGGCACCGACAATGCAAATACTGACTCAACGCAGATTGTATTCTGTGGTTTTGTGATATCACTCTTCATGAGGAGCTCACTGAGTGACTTCTACAGAAGCCGTTTATTTTTATCTCTGTCGACAGGAAACCAAAAGTATTATGGAGGAAGTGCAGGAAGAGCCTCATTAACTAACTTACTTGCACTTGTATTTTCCTACTGAGAAAATCTTTAATGTCCTAACTCTGTCATCACACACAAATTATATTTCTTTTTGGGTATAGCAGTGTCTAAAAACTACAAGCGTTGCTGGTGTTTGTTCCTCTAACTCTCTAAAATTGTTTTTTTTTTAATTGGCCGGATTTCTTTTAAATCAAAAGTGAATTGTTTAACTTTTTGTACAATGTGTGTCCATTTTTGCATTTATAGCATACAAATGACTTAAAATATAATTACTGTGGATTTGAGCCTTTTCAAGAAAGCCCTAATGAATCAGGCCTCAAGCAGTTGCCTAAAATAAAATCCTCTCCAACTTTAAGTGTTTCTACAAATTCTCAGTGAACACATTTCACTCTCCTTACTCTTCATAACTGTTACCTCCTCTGGTATCATCACCAGTGGGTATCGGTCCTCTGACAGAAGGTTGAATAAACAGAAGAGCTTGAAGCAGTCCCTTTCCGATAGCAGTGTCCCCTGTGGCACCCTTCTGAAATTCTTCTTCATGGTCATTGTCCAGCACAGGTCATCAAATTTCTCCTTATCAAACATCCCCTTTTTGACCTGGAAATGCAAAACTGGAAATGCTCTGAACTGAAACTAAAATTGCACTTTTTAAAACAGTTTTACAAAAGATTATTTGTTTCCTGAGGGGTGCGTTACGAAGGAAGTTCAACACTGCCTGGCTTTCTTATCATGACACTGGTTATCATCTTTCTCGATTAACTCACGCTTTCTGCTTCAATCTCTGTGCACACTTATATAAAATGGGACTCGACGGAGCACTGCGTACTGCAGTCAGAAGAAACGGGTTACAAAGATCTCTAAAGTTTATATAAATATAAGAGTAAAACACAACACTGCTGCTGCAAACATCACATCACTATAAGACTGGACTCTCACACACATCACATCACCACACGCACTCTGGTTTTTCTTCATGCACACTTCCTATAATTTATAATCTCTTTCTGCTATTTGCACATTTTTACTGTAAATTTCTAAGTCAAATCTGTAAATTTTGTAATAACCTGTAAATTGTAAATACTGTAAAACCACTGTCATCTAATGGTCGGGCATTGCATTGCACAGCTACAAGCATTTCACCTCATGTCATACTGTGTATGGTTGTGTGTGTGACAAATAAAATTTGAATTTGAAATAAGACTGATTGCTTCAGAAGATCATTAAGTTACAATAACTCAGCTACAACTCTTAACAGTGTAAAAAAAGGACTTCAGCAGCATTGGCATCAAGCATAAAAATATCACCAGCTGAGTACATGGAAAATCCTGTGACAATGTGACACACATTTCCACTGCTATGTTGCTAGTGAGGTGCACTCATTTTGTTAGATACACCTGTTTGGCTTCTCATTAACACATATTTAATTAGCCAGTCACATGGCAGCAGATCAATGCATTTAGGCGTGTAGATATGATTAATATATATATGATTATATAAGGGCTATATTTTCCTCATCTCAATAAATCTCTTAACAAGCCTCTTAACAAGTCCAAAACCAACAACTAGTCGGTTCTGAATTTCTTTTTAAGTTAGCCGGGTACTGTAGGTTTTTGCAAGTGTTATTTAAAACTGACTAAATACTGCATGAAATGGGAATGTCTTTCAACTGCAGATCGGCACACAGTACTGCACGATCAGCTGGCAAGCAATGTAAACATAAACTTAAGTTAATGATCATGGTAATGAAGGAGCATGAGATCGAGGGTGAAGGTACTGCTCAGTGATGTGTTCGTAAGAGTTTTGAACAACATAAATACGAGTATAACTGCAGCTGAAGGAAAACCCTTTGCTTAGATTGTATTTTTTACATTACCTTATCCAGTATGTATTTGCTGAGGTAGGGCATGTAGCCATGATTAGACACTGGTCCATCATCATCATCCTGGAAATGCTGCTCCAGAGCAACGGGATCATGTGGGATGTTCAACACTGTGTACAAGTTGTGGGACAGCACCTGGAGAATTCAGACATTAAGCATAAGTGGATGGATAAAACTAAGCACAACTCCCGCACACTCCCTTGTTTCTTCACATATCAGCAAACAAACGCTCACAAGCACAGGCAGCTAGTCACCAGTGAGTAAGCATGTCAGGGCAGCTTTCTGCTATTTCCCTGGATTCTTCTAACCAAGGGGGGGTCAGTTAGGCATGTAGGGAGTGGAGGGAAAGCAAGTTATCAGGCAAAATGAAACCTACCGAGGGGAAAAGAAGGCAAAACATAATATTCGTCTTTTATTTAAAAACCCTGACAATTTTGTGTGGTATCAAGGCCATGATAAGGTTGGACTTTCACCTCCACTTTGAACAGGCTAAACGTCTGTTAATGTCTGAAAAGATCTGGATTTGAGTGCGAGCTTTTAATCTGTCTGCGTGTCTCATGTTCCTCTGATTACAACACGAATTCACGCACAGTATGCCACCACACATACACACAACTACGTTTGAGTTCTGACTTTAGACAGAGTCGAAGTGATGACCAAAGTAAAACTGCAAGAATATAAAGCGTTTGTGTTTGTCTCTGTGCTCTGTCCAGCGGACGCCCCTCGGTCTCAGTTTCCTGATCTTAAAAACGTCTCGCACTAAAATTCTCCTTACCTTTAACTGCGACTTGGAAACTTTCCCGCACTTCTCCACGTCCAGCGACGTGAAAGCGTACCAGATGGACTTCAGGAGTTCGGATTTTAGGTCCATTTTTTGGAGACCGCCGGGAACGCGCAAAACTACATTTCCGAAGCGGTGCGCAGCGGCTTTTTACGCAGCCACGGGTGAGCGCCCGTGTGGTGAGAACAGCCAAGCAAAATGTGGAGCAGAGCACTCACTGCGGTGCAAACGACAAAGGCCCAAAGTATCAGATGTGGTGCAGACTTAAAGAGACGGAGAGCCGAAACAAAACCTGGAGCACCACACGGTCCTCCTCCCTTCTCATAATTCAACAAAAACGATTTAAAATAGTGGGGAAAAAAGCAGACATGAATAGATCTCGACAGTGTGAATACATTTACGTGATGATTTCACACTACATGTATTCACAGAACTGTATCTAAGGTATTTCTCCTGAGAGGGTGGGCTCCTGAATTCCTCAAAGCACTGCCAAAAACCAAAACCAAAGAGGAGGAATCCTGTTGTTATCCGATTCAGGAGACTTGCTAAAGGACACACCCATCTTGGTATAGAGCACAAGGCCACATTTGTTTGAGGAGGTTAAAAATCTTAAAGGTTTGGGGGTGCCACAATATGTAGCCTGTGGCAAGGCTGAAGCACTTGAGCTTAATATTAGTAGTAGCAGTAAATGTTTTATTATTTAGCTCAATGACTACGGATTATTTTTCCACTTTTCATGTTGTGTTTATGTGCATAACTTGCAGACATTTATTTTTGTATTTGGTGAGCCTTTGATTTCATGCAATGGCGTTAAAAAAATCGTGTATGCTGGGTTCAGACCTTTGATTCAATTCAAATGGACTAGAAATAGAGCATAAAAAGTTTGGCGTTTGTCTGAATTCAGGTGTCCAAATCTCTCTCAGAGCTCCTCTTTGGTTTGATTAAACTGGAGGCATGGCCTAACCTCGGGCAAAATAGGATACAACAAGCACAGCCTAATCAGACAGAAACCTTATTAGAGCACAATGTAGGCTAATCAATAGCATAATTAGGTCATGAAAATGGTTGTCATTGTTCAGAGGTCATAGCCTAAAGTCTCTCTACATCTAACAGTCATAGATGTTGGTTTTAAGGTAAATGTAGGGGTAGAGTATGAAAGACTTGATCACAATTTCCATTTCCATAATTTATTATTTTGTGCTCCATAGACCAATCGATGCTGGCTCAGGGTGCTCTGTTTCATCGCTCTCAGCTGTGCATATGTTGTATATGCTGCACTCTGTTATCTCCCTTCAAGGGCAGATCTAATCACCATCGTCTCAGGTGCACAGCAGAAATGAGATGTCACTCAGTTAGCAATAATTCAGATTTGCGTGGCCAGAGGTCCCAGCCATGATCTACTTCTCAATGCAACGAGAATTTCCTGCTTTGGCACACCTTCAGCATGACCTTCCCAACGAAATAAAGACATAGAGCTGCTTCTATAGCTCTTTAAAATGCATGCAAACGGTTCCCACATTAAAGATGAAGGCTATAAATCAACATTAAAGAGAAAGAAAAACACATTCGAACCCCAAAGAGCTTCACAACATGTTTATTATGCATGAATTCTTCATTACCAGAATTTATACATTTAGCATAATCGAGGATAGCAGACTGTGGCAATCAACATTATATCCCATATTTAGGCAAGTGTTTTCTTTGTTTATTTTTTACATAAATAGTTTACAGAGTAGGTCATGCTTGCTTGCAGAGCTGGCAATCATATACCAGTTATGCATTATTAAATAGGGAACGTTTATCATATATTACATTAATAAGAACAATAAAAAGGAAGAAATGAGGAGATGCACCATAACGAGAAGGCTGAAAGGGTTTCATATAATTTCAGTGCATAGTAATACTAAAACATGTACAATAAAACACATTCACATTCATCTTATTGAAATACTTTCTTTATAACGTTGCATATGTCTCACGAGTATAATGCTAAGCTGAAAATCTAAGAAGAAGAGCAAGACAAATGTTTATATAACCCAACTTTTTGCTGTTGCTTGTTGTTTCATGCCAGTAGTGTGTGTTTCTAGTCATACCTTTCAATGATGTGCTTTGGAACAACACAGTGACATCTGGAAGAAACTGTTTGAAAGCAGTCATAATTTAATAAACTCTCTAACCAAAACTCTCGACACAGTGGAAATTAGTACGCACTACTGGGTGTAAAAACAACACAAAATACCAGACAGTAATATTAATCTCTTTTTAAAGCACCAAAACCAGCGCAGAGTGATCTCTGAGATGGGAAAACTAAATGAAGTAGATACAAACATCTGTGAGCACAGCCAGACTAAACGATCAAAGTGGAAAACAGCTGGTGAACATTCCTGTGCATTTAGGACTGAGGTGTGCCAGAGGTGAAAAGGTCCAAGGATCAAGTATGTAACACAGAGAGGTATATTATTTCATGCCATCATTTAAATATTTCTTAATTAATTCATACAGCAAAAAGGAGAAAATGTCTCACTGTACTGCCACCGGGTGAGATCTGAAGTCTGTTACGCAAACCCACTTGTTCCTACGCTGTTGCATGTAGCACAAAAAACCTTACATGAGAAGACAACCTCCATTATTCATGCTGAGGCCAGTGAGTGTAATACAGCTGCAAAGGGAAAAGCGACGCACAAAAGTAGTAACTTGACTGAAACCGCTGAAGGATAATATAAGAAGAACATTAAAGTTGCAATATGCATTTTTTTCCTGTAATACTTCATCTTAAAGTAAATGTTAACTACACAATGATCAGTTTGGTAATCTATAGAGTGCTCAGCCCCAAGGTATTAAATTTTTCAGGAAAATGCCCAATTTTGCAATGCAAAGAGGAAAAAGAGCATATTGACTTCCCTGGCAGCTATCTGTAGCTTCCCTCATCTAGCTGTAAAGAAGGACAGTGAAGGAATTTAAGCAATGTGCTGGATTTCTGAACACAAGTTTGGACCTTCAACTGTTTTGTCAAAGAATCACGTGTCATATGTTTGAGTAACTTTTAGTGTTATATAAGTCCTACAAATTCCTGGGGGTTTTCAAACTTCACAACTCTATTAAACTCAAATGGCCAATCCACCAGCTAGCCTTAGTAATTAGAGTATTAATGTGCTACTACACGTCCATGCTGTCTCGGTGCCAGTTTATTGGCTAACAGACAAGCCAGGGCAATGCCTCCAATCTGTGTGAAGGCTAACCCCAGCACAGTAGCAGCAATATGGAAGACATTGTCATTGACCAAGCTGAAGACTTTGCGGAAGCAGCCATGCGGATGGATCCCCGCGGCAGCCACACCGTCACCGTCATCTGCCAGAAGAGGCCGATTCTTGCAACCCTTTCGCCTCACGCAGCAGCTGTCGGGCAAGGACACCGAGGTGCCGTTCTCAATGGGCAGGAAGTTCATATGCTGGATAGCCCAGTCAGACACAAGCCAGTCGCGCCAACCGTCAGCTCCACAACACTTCAGAGCCCTCTGAAGGCTGTCTAGAGCATCAGCACGGCCTTCATCCTCTGTGTAGCCCGCCACTGCTCGCTGTAAACCACTGCGAAATCCACCGGCAATTTCTTCACGGTAGAAGAGGCCCGAGAGTCCTGCTGCCAAACCGGCTACAAGTGCAGCAAGCTGAAAGAAGCCGTAAGCCCTTAGCACGCAAGGCAGGTTTGCAGCCACCCCCAGGCAACCCAGGAAGCCCCATGCTGTGATGGCCGCACCTGTGGACAGAAGGATGAGCGGGGCATTGGGGTAGCGGTTGGCGGAGAGCATCATGTAGTCTGCCAGGGAAATTTGAGCCCACACACCCAGTGTGAAGATAGCCAGTCCAGCTGCCCAGAAGAGGCAGCTGAAGGCTAGAAGACCCAGACGCAAGAGGTGCATGACTCCCACGGAATGGCAGCAGGGTGGGCCAGCACCCACAGGTGGAGGAGCAGGGGGCGCCAGGGAGGCTTCTGAGCACACGGACAAGGAGAGACGCTGCTGTTGCTGCTGCTGTTGCTGCTGCTGCAGGCTGAACTGCTCCTCTTGACCTTGGTATGGAGGCAGCAGGTAGCCAGGGATGGCAGAGGGTCGACGAGGAAGAGGAGGCGGAGTCAGCAGGTCAAGACTCCGTGAAGACAGTCGTCGCACAGCTAGCTGCTCATGCTCCCAGTCCAAAGCTTGTCTGCTGGGACTCGGCCGAGCCGACAGCGAGTCGTAAGGCAGTGCACTCATAATCCTGGCTTTATCTACTCACTTCTCTCTCCGTTACACTCTCCCTCTCTCCTCCTTTTTCTCCTATCAGTGCCTTCACCCTCGTCCTCCTGCAACACACACAGCTGTTCTCCCAAAGCTTTATGACTGTTTATTAATCCACCACCAGCAGAACCATTGCCAACTGGACTGTAAATCACACTGATGGGTGCGCGTTGAGTCGTTATCTGCATCCGCAGCTGCCTTGTTTCCACCTTATTTATCTGTTTATTCTGAAGGTTCTTTCCACCTGCTTGGTCACCAGTCCTCCAAAGTCCTCCGCTGACAGTCACATCCCGACATCTATCTGTTCGCAGCTGCCCTGATCAAGAGAAGAGGTGATTGCAGGGGGAAATGACCGAGAATCAACCAATGCACACCCTCTCTCGGCGTGGAGGAGCCATCCCTTCGACTTTTACAGTTTTCCATTTGTAGAATAAATGATTCCAGGATAAGAGCAGTAAAAGGTTATTTTTAAAATCTTAAAAGACCCTTAGGTACTACATATTGTTTTTTAAAATACAAACAAGTCTATTCTGCTTCATCAGGACTACACTAGTGTTATTATTGTAGCACAAAAACACTGATATTTATGTATTTTAATGATGTTCAATAGAAAAACAAACATAAAAATATAAAGTGAGTAAAAGGCAAGCTAAAAATAGAAACCCACTACCTCACCTACTATTATTCTGCTTCAGTTAGTCTCCCATTAATATGACAGGGACATTTTTATTCTGGTGACTCCTGCTTGGCATGCCCTCTCCACCAATCACCTACCTGCCTAGTCAGAGCTAATGAAAACATCTCGGTTAATTAACCACATTCAACTTCCTCTTTTTATAAGGATAACCATAATACTGACATGATGACAGAGAGGGAATACCCAGAAAAAGTGGCAGGAGAAGACTGATCTCATTTTGTGGCAGTTTGGGATCTAAGCCAGTTTTGCTTCTTTTTCTTCTTTTTTTTTTTTACACATCGTTTTAAACCTCCCTGTTGAGGGCGCTTTTACATAATACAGGCTTATTTATTTATTTTTTTAAATCAAAATTTCTGGAAGAGCCTTGGCCTTTTTAGTAATGACCTCTGAATTGTCCTAGAAATCTTTGCAGAGATAATGTTTCCCTAACGCTGATTTTTTTTTTCTTCTTTAAATCTTAGAGAAATTGTTTTGGTGTTTGAAATACTTTGACCAAAGTATAAAAAATTACAAAAGCTGTGGA